CTAGGTTCCTGCAGACCCCCCAACATCAAGTCTTTTTCCTAAGTACCTCAGAGTGGGCTCTGCTGCTCCTGCTGCTCCCTGTGTGCCCAGCGCTGAGGCTCACGAGCACTTTGATGATGAAGTTCAAACCCCTAAAGTGTTTGCAAACTCTCAGACCACCCTCTAGCAAGCTGCCATTGTGAGTGAATTCTGGGAATCCCGGGCTGATTTCAGTTCCATATTGCTGGATGTTCTCTAGCATCCAGGAGTATTGGCAAACAAACATCTAGAATTTGTATTGAAACTTTATGCAATATCAATGGTAGAAAACAATCCTAATTTCTAAATAAGAACATTTTATCCTGACTTTTATAAAAATATAATGTGAAGGGCCAGGCGCGGTGGCTCACAGCTGTAATCCCAGCACTTTGGGAGGCGTAGGCGGGCGGATCACGAGGACAGGAGATCGAGACCATCCTGGCTAACACGGTGAAACTCCGTCTCTAATAAAAATACAAAAAAATTAGCCGGGCGTGGTAGTGGGCGCCTGTAGTCTCAGCTTCCTGGGAGGCTGAGGTAGGAGAATGGCATGAACCCAGGAGGCAGAGCTTGCAGTGAGCCGAGATCGTGCCACTGTACTCCAGCCTGGGCAACAGAGCGAGACTTCGTCTCAAAAAAACAAAAACAAAAATTATCAAAAATTATATATATATATGTATATATATATATTTTTATATAAAATGTGAATTTTACAATAATGTAATAAAATTTTTAAAGTGATGTTTCTTATATTTTATTAAATGTATTAATAATTGACTGATATTTAAAGCATACTAATAGCATAAATGACAAATAAACCAACACAGAAAAGCTATACATAAATACCATTGTACATTATTTAATTTGGCAAGAATGGTATTTATTTTAAGTTCTGCCAAAACTTGCCTATAAATATATTTGTTTACAGGCATTAGGATAGAGAAGCAATCACACAGAACAACAACATTTTGGAATACTACATTATGCTATAAAACAGTAAATTCAATTCAATTAAATAATTAAAATAATATTAAATAAATTCGTGTTCTGTTTTGGTATTTGGATATGCGTTCATTTTTGTATTTTCTTTTTTGTATCTTTAGTAGAGATGGGGTTTCACCATGTTGGCCAGGCTCGTCTCAAACTCCTGACCTCAGGTGATCCACCCACCTCGGCCTCCCAAGGTGCTGGGATTACAGGCGTGAGCCACCGCACCCAACCCATTTTTGTATTTTCACATGTATGTTTCAGTACTGAGCATATGTGTGTATGTGTATGTGTGATTATAAACTTATAAAATATTCATCTATATAGTTATGCAAATTAAAGAGTTTCATGTGAAAAGACAGTAGAAAACACAAAAGGAGAAGAGTTATAGAAAGCATTTGCAATACCTAGGGCCTACAGAGGAGTTGTATTAATATGAAAAATAGTAGCTTAATATTTTGGAAATGACACACACAGTAACAAATATCTATATGAAATTAATAAGATATTGGCACGAAGTTAAGAAAAAATTAACATAAGTATGCTCACTATTGGTCTATAAAATGCCTATAATAATAACACTTTTTATTTATCATATTATAGAAAATAAAATAACTATATAAATAGCACTCTTTTTGCTTGACAGCATTAGGTAATTCACATGTTTTTTGATACAAATAAACATTGGTCATTTTTTATGGTAATTTCAATATTTTCTTCTAGAATATATGTTCATAATTATAATTGAAATTATAGAATTTCCAGAAACTTATTTTTTCAGTTGTGACATGTATTCTTATGATTGTCTTTTTACATTAATATACCTTTGATTCAGAGTAATAATAGATAAACAAAATAATTATAAAGTTAATACAGTGTGTTCCCACCTCCAAGTATCTCCTAAGATCAATATCCTCCATCATCATAAGACATGGTGTTAACATATTTACATTGATAAGTTGAAAATTATTCCATGCCAGACCTTATTTTATTTTTTCAATAATTTCTTTTGTATACTAAAAACAAAATTCTAAGCTTCCTCAAGCAACTGAATGAACCCAACCTTCAGCCAAGGGGATTTCAAAGTAAATTCTAAAACTTGTTCCAGCAATGATGGGAAGTGAGTGGTCAGACATGACTCATTAATTCTCCTCTCATTGGAATTAAGGCACCAGTGGCCAGCATTAGCACTGAAACAAAGATCTTAAGACTAACAAAACTACATTTTTGCTATAAACACTCTTTATAGAAAAAAGACACCAAATTACAACCTGATTATAGCATAACATCACATGACAAACATGAAGACCTAATGATCTATTCTCTATGAAGTCTGCTACCTGGAGGCTTCATCTACATAATAAGAACTCTAATCTCCACAAACCCTTATCTTAATCTAGACACTCATTTGTGAGGAGTGTATTACCTTACATTTCAACCAATTGCCAATCAGAAAATCTTTAAATTCACCTATGTCCTGAAAGCCCAGGCATAATCTTTTCCTGCCTTTCTGGACTGCATAAATGGTATAGATCACATGTGTTAATTAACATCTACCTGTAACTTCTGACCCACTAAAATATATAAAATCAAGCTGTAACCAAACCATTTTGGACACATATTCTCAGGAACTCCTGGAGTGGTGTCATGGGCCTTGGCCACTCATATATATCTCAAAATGAACTATTTTAAATATTTCATAGTTTGTCCCTTTTAGTGGATATCTTCTTTTTCTTTTATTTTTCTTTTTCTTTTTTTTTTTTTTTTGAGACGGAATCTCTCTTTACTGTTGCTTTTGTATATTTGTTTGTTCCCAGACTCCATCAAGTTCATCACTTTGAATTCAGTTGTCATGTTCCTTTATTCTCTTCTGGTAAATCACAGTTTGTATTTCTGAAGTTTTCCAGGTGAATATTTTATAGATACAAATGTATCAAGTAGGTTGAAAGTGCCATTTGAGACACTTCTATCTTTACTTATTTAATCATTGCTTGTTTTGTCGATCACAATGAGTGCTGATTTCTCCATCTTCTATATATGTTAGTCTATTTTCTGTTCCAAATCCATTTTAAATGTATTTTGGAAAGTTGATCCTATTATTCTATGTAATATTTCACTTGAGTCACAAAGGTATTCATTTTATGATTATTTGGTCTGAAATTCATGTAGCTATTCAAGTTTTCTTTGGTTTATATTTTCATGGTATGTATTTTTCTATCCTTATTTTTTCTATTCGTGAATATCTAAACAAGTTTTCTTGGAGAGAGAGAATTGCTGGGTCCTAATTTTTAGTTGACTATGAGGAATTATTTCTTAATAATATTACTCTTTTATCCAATTATTCTTGTTTTAATTTTGTTTCTATTAACTTATTAATTATTACATGACTAATATTTTATAGGTTATCATAAGGGTAACAATAAGACATTTCTACGATTGAATTCTAATTCAAAAATGTAATACCCCTTTACATATAGAACAGAGATATTATAACTGTATTTGTCTATTTTCTCTTTTCTATCCCTTTTAAATTTTCTCAATTTGTAGTAATGTATGCTATAAAAATGGAGTATTGGAATTTTATCATTGCTTTACACATTTATATAATAAAAGAAATACAAATGCAAAAACAAAATTTAAACCTCATTTTTCCATTGTTGACAATCTTTATTTTTTTGGATAGATTCAGGTAATGGATATATATAATATGGCTAGTCACCTAGAAAGTCTGCTAAAATGTCTATGGAAAGATTATTGTGCTGGGAATAGATTTTCTCAGGATTTATTTGTCCTACAAAATATTTATTTTTCTTTGATTTGTCATCTCCACAATGTCAAGAAGATGCTGCATCTGCAAATGGGCAATCTGCAAACCAAGAACACATCACTATATTACTGTGCAACAGAAGTGCATGAGGAAAGGCCAGTGTGAGCACAGACACAAACCTCCAGGGACACATGGGCAAATTAGCTGCAGGGGGCGCTCAGGACTCACTGATCAGAGTCAATCCCAGAGGGAGGTGCACAGAAAGTTTAGGACTGCTTTCCTGCAAGGATGGGAAAAAAAACTTTCTCCATCTGAGAGTTTCTCCAGGGAACTTCTCTAATTTCAGAATTCGGTGCCTACCTACCAATGCCATCTCTAAATTTTTTTAAAATATTGTGTTATGAGGACATATTCTCCCATGGACAAAATGCAAACTGACACAGAGATGAAAAGCACTGAACCATGGTCGCCAGAATTGGAGACGTGTAGAAACTCAGTGGGACCTGTTGAATTTTCTCCAATCACACTCACAGCAGAGAACTTACTGGGTCTCCTTGACTAGAATAGTCTTTAGGGATGGTGATACCAGCCTAAAGATGGTGGACTATGGTCAGAGTCATATAGAATATGGGGACCCTTACAGTTTTTATGTCTGACCCTTCTCCTGATGCTAAAGTATGCAAATTAATATCAACACTGATCTGGTGCTTCTTTTGATTCTAATTGATTTTCTTTCTTTTTAGTTGTCATTCTCACTATTCTTTGGATTTTCCTGCTCCCTGGAAAAGGTAAACGTGGTCAGCATGATCTCAACTCCAGGGCTGAAGCCCCTTCCCTGTAATCAGTTTGGGCTCAGGCTGTGGCTACTGCAGCCATGTGGAAGAGGCTGAAGGTACTTTCGGCTTCCCTGGAAATGCAGTAGCCATTTGTAGTGAAAGAAATAAGCTTGGCTGGTTAAAATGGGAGGTGGATGTAGAATTAATTGGTTACTACATAAACTGTCCTTCTTCACCAGTGCTTTTAGGACAAGATTGTGAAATTTGTAAGAATCAAAATGGAGTCGCATGTGTTAAAATCCTGACAAACGGAGTCAGGGAAGTGTAGGGAGAATTCTCACACACATATCCCTGATAACAAGAACTATCATAAAATAATTCTTGCACAAAGGCCAACACAACCTCCCAATAATGACTTCTGCCAAGGCATCTCCTCAAAACTACTTGTCCAGCCTTAGGTTAATGCCATCTGAATTACACTGATCGTGTTACTATCACTGCTCCTCACCACAGATGCACTACCCTACTGAGTCCTGAAACCTGACTCCATCCCATACAGTAGGGCACAGATGAGGGCAATGCAAATCTCCACCAGCTCCACCCTCCTCTGGGTTGAAAAGCAGAGCACAGGGCCTGGCTCAGTGACTCCTGTGCTCCACCATGGACACGCTTTGCTCCACGCTCCTGCTGCTGACCGTCCCTTCATGTGAGTGCTGTGATCAGGGACTCACTCAGGGATAAAACATCTGTTCTCTCCTTTGTGGGCTTCATCTTCTTCTGCTTTCTCCATAGGGGTCTTCTCCCAGGTCACCTTGAAGGAGTCTGGTCCTGCGCTAGTGAAACCCACACAGACCCTCACGCTGACCTGCACCTTCTCTGGGTTCTCACTCAGCACTTCTGGAATGCGTGTGAGCTGGGTCCGTCAGCCCCCAGGGAAGGCCCTGGAATGGCTTGCACGCATTGATTGGGATGATGATAAATACTACAGCACATCTCTGAAGAGCAGGCTCACCATCTCCAAGGACACCTCCAAAAACCAAGTTGTCCTTACAATGACAAACATGGACCCTGTGGACACAGCCACATATTACTGTGCACGGGGAGCACACAGACACAGCCCAGGGCGCCTCCTGTACAAGAACCCAGGCTGCTTCTTATTGGTGCTCCCTCCCCACCAGTGCAGAACAGGAAAGTGTGACTGAGATGCCATTTCCTGCTAGAGCCTGAGTTTCCTATCACCATTAGACTCAGAGCCCTGTCTTCCTCCTTCTTCTTTACTAATAACTGGCATGTCTCCTGTTAATGGTTCAGGCAAGCAGCAGCTGTATCCTGTTTGACAAAGATTCAGCATGAAATATCTCTGTTACTTGGGCCAGATGTGTCACTGTTATGTGGCCAGCAGATTCTTGGGCTCATACCACCCCAAAGGGCAGAATACAAATCAGCAGAACATATGCCTTTATTAAACTGCAGGAAATGACATTGGAGAAAAATGTAGGGATAAGAGAGCAAGAGGAATTGTGAAAATCCAGATAATAGCTTTTCTTGTAGAGAGAAAGCTGCAATCATAAAGTAATTTTATAAAACAATAAAATAGATGGAATATGTCCTCATCATGGAGTGTCTCACAGTGTCAGTGCACAAATAAATTTCTAAAAATGTCATAGGGTAGGTGTGACACATGAGGCTTATTTCCACACAAGGAGCCCATAAATATTTCCACACAAGGAGCCCAGGTAAGTAAAAATCCAACTCTTAGAAAGGGAAGTGCCTCAACTCGACTTCAGAAACCCACCTCAGTGAGTCTGAGGAGCAGTGTGGAAAAGAAATGGGAAATCCAACAATATCTTTCTTATGAAAATCCTAGCTCATGTTTGAACACGAAACACAACTGTCCACAATTTTAGGAAAATCATCCCATGGCAACAAATGACTATACTCAAAAGCTACTAAACTAAGAGAGTTTCAGCAATGAGCAGGTCAGTGCTGATATCCCGGGAGAATCAAGGCTCTCAGGCACATTGTGCAAAACCCAGAATTGAGCCACACAATCTATGGCCAAGTGATCTTTGACAAAGGTAACAAAAATATGCACGGGGAGGAGCACACGCTCTTCATGCCATGTTGCTGGGACAATTGGACTGCCATATGCGGAAGAATGAAACTGGACCCCAACATCTCAACATATACATAACCAACAGAAAATGGACTGAAGGCTTGATTATAGGACCTCAGACTATAAACGTACTTGAAGGAAACCCCAGGAGAACTCCTCTGGACATTGGGCTTAGTAAATAATTTATGACTAAAACCTCAAAAGCACAAGCAATAACATAAAAAAATAGAAAAATGGAACTTAAACTAAAGAGCTTCCACACAGAAACCGAGTGAACAGACAAATTACAGAATGATAAAAAATATTTGCACACATTGCATCTGGCAGGGGACTGATAGGCAGAATTTACATGGAACTGAAACAACTTCACCACAACAGCAGCTATGAAAAACAACGTCATTACAAAGGACACGAGTAGGAATTTTTTTAAACAACACATAAAACTGGACCATAGATATGTAAACAATACTAAGTACCACTAATTATCAGGGAGATGCAATTGAAACAGCAAAGAGATATCTTACTCCAGTCAGAATGGCTCTTATTAAAGAGGCAAAAATAAGAGACATTGGTGAGGATTGAAGGCAAAGGGAACTGTCAGTCACTGTTGATGAGGATGTAGATGAGCACAGCCTCTGTGGAAAACAGTATGGAGATTTTTCAAAGAAATAAAAGTAGGACTACCTTTGATTCAGTAACCCCACCACTGCGTAACTACCCAAAGGAAAAATAAATCATTATATCAGAATGATAATCAGACTTTTGTTTTCCTGCAGAACTATTCACAATAGCACAGACATCAATCTATGGAATTATCCTGTGTCTAACAAAAGATAATTTTATAAAGAAAATGTTACATATATACAATTAAATACTATCCAGCCATATTAAGGAATGGAATCATGTGTTTTGCAGCTACGTGGATGGAACTCGAGGTCATTATTTTAAGTGTAATAACTGAGAAACAGAAGAGTAAACACTACATGTTCTCACTTACAAATGTGAGCTAAGTAATATGTGCACAGGGACACAGAGAAAGCAATGATGCACATTGAAGTCTCAGAAAGAGAGGAGAGCAAAAGGTGGGAGAATGGTGGGAAATTACTTAAGGGGTACGATGTACATTATTTGGATCATGGATACATTAAAGCCAAGACTACTATGAAATATATATGTAACAAAATTGCAGTCACTCCCCATAAATTTATACATATAAAATAAAAACAAATACAATTAAAATATGAAATTATTAACAGTTGATCAATAATCCTGAAAATTAAAATTTATGATCAATAAATGAAAACAATATTAGTTGAACTTCATCGAATTTTAAAACATTGTCTACTCAAGTGACTATCAAGAAAATGAAGGACAAGCTTCAGAGGAGAAAATATTTGCAAATCATGTATCTGCCAATGTAATTATAATAAGAAGCTGCAAAACTCAACAGTAAAAAGAAGCAATCTGTTTAAAAATAGGCAAAAGTTTGTGCAAACCTTTTATCAAAGAAGATGTACAGATGACACATCAGCATATGAATGTGATTTTCTATTAGAGAAATGCAAATAAAGATCGAAAGGAGACACGACTCTAGGCTTTAGAATGACAAAAAATAAAGAAGAAATGTTGGCAGTACCAGTGTCAGTGAGCATGCCAGGACCCTAGAGACTAAAATATTGCTAGTACAAAATGAAACAGGTTCTGGGGAAAACTATTTACAGTTTCTTATCAAATTAAACATGTCCTTAATCTATGACCTAGAAATCTCACTCCTGAGTATGTGCTACAAAGGATTAAAATCATATGTTCACACACGTGTATTCAGATATTTAACATTGTGTGTGTGTGTGTGTGTGTGTGAGAAACTAAAAACAACATGAGTGTCTTTCAATATTTGACACAAAGCATTGGAGGTGAACTCCAGACTTTGTCCTGAGTGAGAGAAGCCCTGCCTGAAAGATCCCCAGAGACACAGTCACGGATATCACTGTCAGCCTCGCATGTCACTGATTTGGGCTGGGCTCTCTCTGTCTCTTCCCTGATCAGGACCAGATGTTAAGCTCCACCACTTGCAGTTGCAAATTTGTATTTTCAACAATGCACTTAGGTCTAAATTGCTCTACAGACTCAACCAAACAAACATGGGTGCCTTTGAACAAACAGTGCCTGACACTTGTACTGACCCCAGGAGAACTCTTCCCCACTGTCTTTCTTCTTGGTTCTCTCCTGCAAGCCAGCAGCCCTGCAGTTTAGCCTGGATCTCCCCTGCATCCATCCATCTCCTTCCAAGCGCATTTTACCACAGCCTCCACTGTTTTTGAGAGCATTTGCGGGCTTTGTAATTCTCCACACTGTTGTAAATGAAATCAGATCCTTCAAGACCGCATTTAGGACTCTATTTTATGACTAAATTTTAGCAACCACACCCCCTGCTCCTGAGACAGACAGAGCTCCTAAATAAGGTTCTGCAGGTGGAGATTAGGAGCATTTTTCATCTTTAATGTAGGAGCTGAGTGCTCAGTGGAGGGAGGGGGAGAAGCATTCCACTTTATCAGCATGCAGATCCTGCTGGGGTGGACCCTCTCCCATAGGAGTAGGGCTGGGAACCAGGCAGTCCATGTCCTCCGTGGGACTGCACCCAGAGCAGAGGCTCCACCCATGAGTGGGACTGTGTGGAAGAAGTGAGGCTCTGGTTCTCAATAAGTCTTGTCTAGAACTGAGCCTCAGCAGCAGGACCTGTGGGCAAGGTCAGAGGGCCAATGTCCTGGCCCTGGGGGAAGAGTGTGCTCTGGTGGGAGCTGGGCAGAAGGAGTCCTGTCTACTTGGCTGCAGCCATCTGTGGTGAAATTTATATCATGCTGAGCTGGGGCATAGAAGGAAGGAAAAGAATCTTTGATCAAATATGAATATCATGGCTGACCTTACTGAGTTTTTGTAGATTATCTCGAATAAATGTTCCTTCACTTTCTGTATGCTGATAGGGCCTTTCCAAACCTGTCAATTTTTCAAAATAAGTCTCACCAGTTTCATGGAGGCATGAATATGTCAAACTCCTTATACTGTCATGTGAGATGTGGAACTGTTTCCTTCACTGGTCATAAAATAATGGGTTGACTTTTTTTCCAACACTTTACACATACCATCAATTGTCCTATTGCTTATATGGTTATAACCAAAGCAATGCTGATATTATTCATTTCTGTTCTATTGCAAGGTATGCCCTCTACTGGCGTCCACTTGCTGGCATGTATTTCCATTTGTCTGTGTGTTTTAGTAATTTGAAAATGATTGACCTAAGAGTGTGTGTGTGCGTGTATGTGTGTGTCGTGTGTGTTGTGTGTGTGTCGTGTGTGTGTGTATGTCAAGGACTTATCCTGCAATTTGCTGTTCTCTGACCTGCACTGATCTATAACTTAAAATTTCTCTAATTTTGAGGAAAAAACTATAGGGAAAGTGAGTTTGAGTCCAGACACAAACCTCACTGAAGTGGGCACAGGATTCTAACCCCAGGGGTGCTCAGGACACACTGATCACAAGAGCCAGCCTCAGGGGCAGGTGCAGATGGAGGCTAAGGTCTGGCTTCCTGTCAGCACTGTGGCTTCTTCTCCACAAAACATCCTCCCTTGAGGAATTCATCTGGACTCATGATTCTTTGCTTATCTCCAAAGTCTCTGAAATGAAAATGTTTGTTTTAATAAGAGAAAAACCTTCCCACATGTGCAAAAGACAGTCTCCTATGGTCACTTAATCTTGTCTTTAAATGTCAATTAATTATCAATGCTTCTGAAGTAAATCAGCTAAATCTATAAAATACACTTCGTTTAACTCAACCCTGCAGCCCAGCATGACAGCAGACAGGGCCAGCAAGCAGCAAGCAGAATACGGTGCATGCTGAACAATGGGTCAGAGGTAGTTAGCATCCAGTGCAAGAGAAGAAAGTGCCTGTGGTGGTCACTGTCAGGACCCAAACTCATAGCTCCAATTGTAGGTGACCCCGTGCAAAGGAAGAGATACCCTCACCAATGTTTAGTGTGGATGTCGAGTCTGATGGTGCCACACTCACACACCACGTGAATATGGAAAGATTTACCAACTCCAATTTTGAGGTGTCTGCTGAGGGCAGCACAGGCCTTTCAAGAAAGTCCAAACTGGCTCAGTAGAGCAGGAAAGAAGGCTGTCTCAGGGTTTTTATAATGGTTTGGTGTTGAAGGAATGGTGGGGCTTCCTACTAAGGGGAAGGAGCTTGTGTAATTTGAACCTAGTACTGGCATCCAGTGAGGGCACTTCCATGATTTTCTACTAGATTTCCCATGTGCGGGGGACAAAGGTGAAGGAGAGGATAAATCCTGTCGTCAGTAGTGAGGCATCAAAATAGAGTCTGATGACTTATTCTACTTAGCAACTTCAGAAAATGAGTGAAAAATGAGGTAAGTGTTCTCTCTGGGTGGACAGCAAATAGGTCTACAGAGAATACTTTTTTGAAGTATAAGCACGTAATAAAAAGAAGGAGATGAACAAATTGAACAGGGATCTTGGCCCAATGTCCTGATCTCACTCTGTGAGATCATCAGCTTTGTTGGGGGGTCTCAGGTCAGGTCCTTCTTCAATAGATCTCAGGCCTTACAGGATATATGGGAATGTCCTTTCCTGGAGCAGCCTGACAACTGGGCGGGTTTATGAGCTTATTCCTCGGTTGCAGTACATGAAAAATCACACAATCTACACATTTGGAAAAATAAGCCTTTATTTTTTATAAAAGATTACAGCCATTTCACAGGCTGGGAACACAGCCCTCAGTAAAGACGAGAGACAGGCACTCCCGAGGAGGAGCGTTGAGGCAGAAACTTTATGCTGAACGTGTTGGCTAAACAGACACAATCAATAGGTTACAGGAGGGGCTATGCATGTTCATAAAGGTGGTCATGACACATGAATATGGGAACAAACATACATGTAACATGTGACCCCTGTTCACTTAGCAGTGGGGGCTTAGCATTTAAATGTGTTGCAGTTAGGCCCTGTGTGCCAAAAGCTGGAGCAGGGACACAAAGGCCCTCAGAGCGCAGCCTCCATAAATGGCCAGAACCAGGCCGTGGTCAAAGGTCTCTGATCAGGAGAAAGTTCCTGAAATCAGTCTCGTGTCCAGTCAAAGCTGGGGTTATGGCTGTGGAACAGGGGTCAGTTAGTCAGGGGATGAGCTGCAATTGATTAAATTGTGCTTGTCTCAGGGTCAGTGCTTATTTAGCTGCTAGAAAAAAAATAACCTATTGGCAGTTAGAGCACAGTTTATTCTTTTATAAGAGTTGGGGTGAGGAACATAACCCCCGCCTGGCATGGCCTTAGGTCTTGCTTGTAACTTGGCATCTTATTGCCACAGAGAGTC